GCTGCTCCTCAAGACGCTGGGTAAGGGGGTGGCAGGGGGAATGCGGGGGATACGGGGGCTCAGGAGGGGCAGGACGAGACCCGCAAGTCGTCATCAAGCCATTGCCATCCAAGGCATCTCCAGGGTCATTGCAGTTGGCATGAACCTAATGCATGCAGCGAGCGTGCTGGGACTCAGCCACCAGCCCGTCTGTAGCACGGGGATGGGGCTGCGGCGCGGGGACCCACCCCCGTGGACCTGTCCCCTCTGTCACGCAGGGCACCACTCGTGGGGGCTGTACCCGGAGCCCTCTCACCTCCCTCCGGCAGCGACGGCGGCACCGCCACGTCGCGGCGCTGAGGATGGGGAGGACGTGCGTGCCGCGGTGGAGCAGATCACAGGTGTCTTGGGCGGCATCTTCACCCCCCTCTTCTTCCGCGGACTCTTCGCCTTCCTCACCTGGTGGGTGGCCGCCTGCCAGGTCGTCACCAGCCTCTTCGGCCTCTACTTCCACCAGTATCTGGCAGCCTCCTGACTGGGGGGAACTGGGATGTACCTGGCTGCTGGTCCCCTTGCTCCTGCCTTGGCTGGTTTCCCCCTTTTTATGTGCTGGTGGCACATGTGGACACGCACGTGGGGACATTTCTGCCACCAGCTCTCGGCATGACAGGTTTTACGCATCCGGGCCAGCGTGGGCATCGCCTGCTCCTGCCGCCCATCACCGCCGTGCCTGCTGTCACCCCGCCGCCGCTCCGGGCTGCATCCCTCCGGTCCCTCTTCCCCTTCCCAGCGCCGCGCGGTGATGGAGGAACCGGAGCCCCGCAGCCGGGTTTGCTCTGCCCCGACACGGGGACACCGTGCCACTGGGTTTTCATGGAAGGGCAGCAGCTCCTGCCAGCCCCGGGCAGAGGACTCAGTGGGGATCACCCTCGCACGGCGGAGCCCTCACAGCCGGGTAGGAGACCCCAAACAGCACAGACGTTGGGGGTTCGCTCTGCCTCGCGGTTTGCCTCTGCTGGCTGAGGGTGTGTGTATTTTTGTAGGGTCGGAGCTCTTTGGGGGTCGGCCCTCTGCTTGGTGTGAAATCCTCAGGCCCAGCAGCCCATCGGCTGTTTTAGAAATAAATAAGTAACCCCGAGTTGGTTTGCCACACCGAAAGCTGCCCATTTGTTTGCGCTTGGTGACCCCGAAAAGCCCCGGGAGCCGAACAGGGCATCCCACGGCACCGCGGCAGCTGCCTTTTGGCCGGCGGG